AAAATGGAAGAAAAAAACGAGGAATGGAATAAAGAGTTGCAAATAAGAAAGTTAAAAAAAAAGGAAAGAAAATGGAAGAAAAAAAGATAGGAATAACTGATCTTCTATGGACATGAAAACCACAGAAGACATATATATATCCGAATCATAGTTGGAATGTAGTAAATATCACAAAAAAGGATGAAGCTATATAAAATAGGATGAAGCTATATAAAATATGATGAAGCTATATCAGAAAAAGAAGAGGGAAACGGGAAAGAACAATAATAATGAGGAAACGGAGAGGAACTTCGAAAAAAGACGAAATGAGAAAGAAATCAAAATTTAAGAGGAAGATGGCAAGAAAGACAAAAGGCTACCGAAATATTCATACGAGGATAAGTATTTCAAATTTAAATTGATAAGAAAATCGGATACTTTGCATAAAATCATTGGCCGCTTTCTTCCAGTAGAGATATTCAGACACGCAATGTATCGTGCCCGCATCCTTTCATCGTCGCAGACACACGTGCACATGTATGTCGGCGATCAAAAGATGCACGGAGGAAAATAGACATGCACAAAAGCATATTAAAAGACTTCCAAACTAATAAGCTTTAGTTTGCATTAAGAAGTAATGTAGAAACTTACACGTGCAGACATGACATCAACGGACATGCACATACATACACACACACACACATACATATATGTATGTGTATGTGTGTGTGTGGACTTAATAAGCCACTTAATCAAATTTGAGGAATAAAAATGATAAAAATATTGGCAATAAGACTGATGATATTTATTATATATTAACCTTTTGACTAAACTGAAGCACGCAGAGAAATATTTTCAAGTCGGAATTTTCGGATACGAAGAATAAACAAAGAACTGGGACTTACTTCCGAAGAATGTTCTTGTTGTGGGTTAGAAGTCTCCCTATGAAAATTATACGCTCTGAGTAAACCCAAATCCCTTTTTAAATCCTCCAATGTGTGATTTTAATTTGAAAACCGTCTTTCTTGTCGGCTGTTGAATGAAGACGTAAAGCACGCATCTGATGTCATCAATGTTATGAAACAGTTGGTTGAAGTGTGCAGCGACAGGTAAAAATTGTTGCTGTTGTGGTTGACAGTATTTTATGCTTATTGCCCCGAAGACGGTATCCCGTTCCAGTTTCTTCAACATAATTTCGTTTTTTGCGTTTGTGGCAGAAAAGTAAATAGATAAAATTTGAACTGCCACAAGTCAGAGCCGGTGGGTTGAATATTGTGTGAGTGCTAGTAGGTGGGTAATTACTATCAGTGATGACATATTTACAGACTTGTCATAGGGATTTATTGCAGGTGACATTACGTTTTAATTATATATACACATATATACCGGGTGTAACAGCAAAATTGTCCAAATCGTGTAACAGCAAATTTTTCCAATTGTTAGATTAAAATTTGAACCGTTGTATCTTAGAAATGATTAAAGATATCTTACTGGAATTCATTGAGGTTTTTATAAAACTATTGGAACAATAGAAATGTATTTAACTGTAAGTTAAAGTGATCCCTCTTCCTGTTGTGACTTCCTGATCTAGTTTTCTTCTCCAGTGTTCCATCTTTTTTAAATGTATTCACCGTTCTCTTGATGGTTCTTCAATAGACTTTGAAGATTGAAGCCAGAGTATAAATGTTAGTACCATTACAGAAGGCTTTTTTTCTCACCATTGCTCAGTTGCAGAGACATAGTGGGGATGGCACTAACCTGTTCTCTTTCTAGCTGAATAACTCAAAGGGTTTTTAGAGTTCTTCCTACGATAAACGGGGCGCCTAGGGGTAGTGTAATGGTTAGCAAGCTTGTCTCGCTAGAACAATTACGACTGAGTAGTGAGTTCGATCCTCACTGGGTGCCCCCTATTTTCAGCCTTGTGCCACATCTAAGCTACGCTTGGAAAATCACTATTCCTATGATAAGTGGCGTCAAAATGGCTAAATGTCTAATCTGAAACCCTGGAGAAAAGAGAATCAATTAGTTTAGTGGATTTTTAGACATTAAACATTTCGTGGGATGGGCAATTATCACATGTTGATAGACGACTTGGATAATTTTGCTGTTAAACCTGACGTGTGTATATATATATATATATATATATATATATATATATATATATATATATATATATATATATATATATGGAGAGAGAAGGAATGAAAGATTGAAAAGAATAATTATCCTCTATGCCGTATTACTTCCTGATGTGGATGTTCATGGCTCTCTGCAACTTCCAGTCCTTCAGAGTCTGTCTATATTTTTGAGATGAAGTATTATGTACATTATTTACATTATTCGGACTATTGTCCTCATCTTTGTCGGCATATTTATTACAACGTTTCGGCCGTTGTACGCTCCGGCCTTCTTCAGGTGATTGGAATGTCAAACTGAACCCTTTATTTCGCTCACTGGGGTAGACTATTCTAGTTTCACGTGCCATGTTTGATGGATGTCAGTTATCAGTTATCTCTCTGAAGGTTCTCCACTGCCTTAGAGGAAAAATTAACAGGAGATAACTGATAACTGACATCCATCAAACATGGCATGTGGAACTAGAACAGTCTACTCCAGTGAGCGAAATAAAGGGTTCAGTTTGAATTTCCAACCACCTGAAGAAGACCGGAGCGTACAACAGCCGAAACGTTGTAATAAATATGGCGACAAAGATGATGGACAATAGTCCGAATAATGTAAATAATGTTCCTGTCCTTCGTATCTCTTAGTAAGGTGTATTTTGTTTTGTTTTGTTTTTTTTTTTTTTTTGCTATCTTTCCTAATCGTTGTTCTGTCAAATATTACACAAGCTTTTTAAGTAGGTTACTCGCTGCTTTCCATTTTCTCTTTTGACTTCAATAGGTCCTGCGAGTGCCATATTCTCCAAGCCTTCTTTCTTTATTATGCTCCCTAGCAACAACAGTCTCTTTCTGGTTTTAAGTATACTTTTTTCCATTTACTCTAAAACATCCTCATTATTCAAAAGGTCAGAGTATGTTATTCTCAGCATCCTTCTGTAGAACCACATTTCTGTCTCCTCAAGTTTCTTCTTAATCTGTGAGGAGATTGTCCGACATTCACTGCCACTATTGGACCGATATTACATAAGAGGTTAGTATTTTTTTTTTCTAAAGAATTTCTTCCGTTTCTTCATACTTATATTTCGCTATGTATGTATATATATATATATATATATATATATATATATATATATATATATATATATATATATAATTAAATTATCTATCTATCTATCTATAAAGGAATTGTAATTTGCCTTCGGTTTCCGTGTAGCATTTTTCGTCCAATGTTAAAACACTTTTTAGCTATCTATATTTGTATACTTGCCAGTGATTTTGTTGTCTCCAATTCCCAGTTCGAACCTTTTGTTGACAACCATACATTCTGGCTTACTCTTTTCTTCTCTCTTTCCTTCACTAGCTTCTGTAGGAGTTCTTGCAGATTTCTTTAAGTGTCAGCTATTAACACTGTGTCGTCTGCATACCAGCATATGTCATCTGCATATGTTGTTAAGATTGTCGCCGTCAATAAGGAATCCTTAAAAAGGAAAGAAATAATTATTGTCTGAAAAAGATACATAGTTATCATACACAGATACATCATCAGTCGACCATTGTTGATATCATCGAGCCAATGCGAACAACCTTTCTTTAGCTGTATAGTATGTGTTACATCAGGGTTACATACGATATTGTATTTAGAGTTACTTTCTCAAAGACCGCTTGCCACACAAAGCTATAGAACCCAGTCTGTCCTGCTATTTACCCATAGCTGCGACGTAGGACTGGGTCAGACGAGTATTCATAGCTTTCCCAAGGTTGAATGCAATGGATCCGACTGGAATTTGAACTCGCCTCTTCGATTCCTCAATCCGAGCCGCTGTCCATTAGCCCGCCGTGCCTCGTTAGATACGAATCTAACCTATATACGACGATTTCATTCACGTATATGCAATATACAGTGTTAATAATTTATATTATATATATATATATATATATATATATATATATATATATATAAAGAAAAGAACAGAAAGATATATAATCCGGTGTTCTTATTAATATTCTTGAATATATTTTTTTTGAAACATGGTTAGAACTGTGTAGCGAATAAAACCATATTTTAAATCAATTAATTCATAAGATATATATATATATATATATATATAGATATAGATAATTTAATTATATATATATATACATACATACATATATATATATATATATATATATATATATATATATATATATATATATGAAGAAATTTATTTTTAAGTTGTGCTATATTTATAGGATAAAGTGCTCTGGTTACAAATAGACAAAGGTGCTACTCGAGTGAAAGGAACAGCAACACAAGTGTAGATGAAAGAAAAGGAGATTTATTGTAAAAGAGAAGACACTACTGAAAGACAAGGAATCGGCTAGCAAGCTAATAATTCCCGACACACGTCCCCAGGATGTCCCCATGTATATCCTATGTTCACTATATATGTATCTACTGATATAGTCAGTCCACAACAGGCTATAAAGCGAGTGGGGCATTCCATTACAACATTATTATCATCATCATCATTATTATTGTTGTTGTTGTTGTATTAATGTTCACACCACACAAAACACAAGGGCCACTCAAAGTAGAGGGTTACTGAAGGTTTGTGCTGATATATGTGTATATTAATAGTTAGCCGTGGAGTTAAAGAGTTTAAGATTGTAATGGTAGGAAAGCATCTTCCTGGGATTCTTTTCCAAAACCAAAAAAACAACAGTTCTTGGGAAGAAGCTCTGCTAATGAAACTTACTCAATACTAAAAAAATATGCAAGGAATGAGGGTGGTTCATCCTAACGGACGCGGCGATTTATTGGTATTCATATCGCATTAAAAATAATTAATAAATAGAGGTGAAATATTGATTGAACGGCGACTGTCGAATCAAGCGGGGATAGAAAAGAGCGGGAAAATCATGGGAATGGCGGGAGATGGTGTTAACGGTGGAGAATGTCGCGTTTTAAAGCATTTTCATTGTAGATTTATTGAAAGCAAACTTTTTCACTTAACGTTTCGAATATCGTCTCTGAAAAAAGTTGAATGCCGATTACTAAATATAAAGAATTGGCGCACACATAAGTGATTGTAAGCACGTACATAAGCAACTACACACACAAATATTCACACACACATTACATATAACATTTTGTGCGTAATATAAGCATGTGAATATACATGCACATAAATATATACATATACTTATATAAGTATATAAGCATATACATATATACATGTATATACACCTGTATTCATTCATACGTATATGACTTTTATTTTGCATTTGTTTAAATTGATTTTATCCTCGATAACATGTCTTTATCTTGTGAATTGAAAAGTTTGTATACAGATATTTTAATTGCTTAAATAAACGTTTACTTAACTTTTATTTTATTAATATCTATCTATCTATCTATCTATCTATCTATCTATCAGTCTATCTATCTATCTAATCTCAGTCTGTTCCTATCTATCTATCTATCTATCTATCTATCTATCTATCTATCTAATTTCAGTCTGTTCCTATCTATCTATCTATCTCATTTATCTCTATCTATTATCTATCTATCTATCTATCTATCTATCTATCTATCTATCTAATCTCAGTCTGTTCCTATCTATCTATCTATCTATCTATCTATCTATCTATCTATCTATCTAATTTCAGTCTGTTCCTATCTATCTATCTATCTATCTATCTATCTATCTATCTATCTATCTATCTATCTAATCTCAGTTTGTTCCTTCTATCTATCTATCTATCTATCTCATCTTTGTTCCTATCTATCTATCTATCTATCTATCTATCTATCTATCTATCTATCTATTTAATCTCAGTCTGTTCCTATCTATCTATCTATCTATCTATCTATCTATCTATCTATCTCAGTTTGTTCCTATCTATCTATCTATCTATCTATCTATCTATCTATCTATCTATCTATCTCAATACTTTAATGAGTTCGATCCTCATTGGGATTCCATACTTTCCTGCTGTATTTAACAAAGTAAATTTTGATGCATCAACTAGTCTTTTGAACATAATTGTAAAAATTAAAAATAATATATGAACGTGATAGGCTATTAATCTCAGGAGAATAATTTGCATGGGCCTATTGGAAGGTGAAGGCTTTTCATTGGATGAATAGGCTCATCGTTTTAAGTTATATATTCGGAAACACGATCTACACATGTGTTGTTCATAAATTGCAGTTGTTTATTGATAAGTGCTTTGCTTGCAGTTGTTTATTGATAAGTGATTTGTTTATTGATAAGTGCGTTAGCATTCCAATTTTATCATGCATTGTTCGTGTGCGCCTGGGCATCATATCAGATAACACAAGATTTGAAGAGACTATAGTTTCATCTTTTTTTTCAACTCCACTGCCAAAATTTATTGTCACTAGAGAAGGCCCTACCAAAAGTTTCAATGAAAATTAAATAAATTTAATAAGCCGCATCCGAAGGCACCCCGATAACAAAAACTTATGGAATTACTAATAAAATTGTATTATCTATGGCTACGCAGAGGGCATTTGAAAAGAGAAACGGGATTTCCATTGACAGAATCGCAGCTCAGAACAAGTTCATGAGCAAAATGTTTATTTTTTCTTTTGTCTTTGTTATTTTTATCACATCATTTCAGTAGCTATACTCTCCCACTTCCCCCAGAAAATGTTGATTGTGTTCGTTTGACCAATTAGGAATATAAGTGTTGAGATGTTGTGAGTTTCCCGCGTGTCGGTGTGTGAATCAAGACAAACACAGTTGTAGAGGAAAATACTGGTATATTCATAACAGCAATTAACAATAGAGTGATTAGTAGAACGAAGGTATCCAAAGTCTATAGTCCAACGGTATGTAACGAAACTGCTAATATTTAGCCAAAGTCATGCGGCATTTTTAATGTCCATTCGGCCATTATCAGTTTGAACCCGGGGTTCAGGGCCAGAAGGAGACTCCGCCCTTCAGGCGTAGCCTCCTTCGGACCTCTGCTAACGAGAGTTGAACTCTCGCTCCTGGGCTGCTAACGCTGACTCTCTCCAGAGCTTATATATAAGAGGGACCAGTCCATTACTAGTTAGAAGGTGGGTGCGCCCCAACAATAAGGTAGCTACTGTAAACTAAAGTAGAATTCAATATTAAAAACAGAAAGGAAAAAAGAAAGGCATTGAAAAATCACAGGAAACCTCAAATAATATAGAGAGCTGAGCAAACATTTCAACAAGCTTGCACATGCAAATCACTGTCCCAAAGCCAGAAAGGATGTATGCCACATCCATCTATTTTTTGTTATGAGGCTCAAAAGGTTGCTTATTGTTTATATGTATTCCTGTTAGATGTAGTCAGTTCCCTGACGGATAAGTCTTCATCTTATTTTAAAGGAGCCAGCCATTTCTGTTGAAATTGCAGAAATCCTTCCATGCATTACATATATTGTGATTCAACAATGTTGAAACCATTTACCAAATTTAGATTTGCCCATATAAGAAACAACAGAATTCGAACACATACCAACACTTAGATTAACATCCTGATGAAAATGTTAATATTTTGTGTGAAAATGACACACATTCAATAAACCTCCGACATATATCGCCAAAAATTATAAGCATGGTGTTCTAGCATACCTAAGGACAATAATGAGTATGTCCTCATTCACATAAATACAGTATTAAATACTGTATGTTGGCTACAGTTGGAAATTCGTTTCTAGCTGTGCTGGTCAAACACTCTGCCTCCGGGTGGAGAGGATCCCCAGACGAGGCTATATCGAAGGGCAGAGTCTCGTCTCGGGAAACAGCTACCCGAACTCGTTTTATACGGGGTCTGCGGGGAAATTTTGGCCGAGCCTACGGTACTGTTGCCATATAATTCTTCTCTAACAAGGACTCGGAGAAGAGTTATTTTTCACCTTCCAATCTCTCGCTCACAGACGGCGTATGGTGATTTTTTTCCTGAAATAGAATAATCCTCAAGTAAAATGGATTTGAAACTAAGAGAAATAGAAACGTGAAGGACTAACAGTAATTTTTAGAATGAGCAAAATTACTAACAGTAATTTTTAGAATGAGCAAAATTACTAACAGTAATTTTTGGAATGAGCAAAATTACTAACAGTAATTTTAGAATGAGCAAAATTACTAACAGTAATTTTGGAATGAGCAAAATTACTAACAGTAATTTTTGGAATGAGCAAAATTACTAACAGTAATTTTTAGAATGAGCAAAATTACTAACAGTAATTTTTAGAATGAGCAAAATTACTAACAGTAATTTTTGGAATGAGCAAAATTACTAACAGTAATTTTTGGAATGAGCAAAATTACTAACAGTAATTTTTGGAATGAGCAAATTCCACAAATACATTTACAGCCGGAAGGTTACAATCATTACTGATCATAAGCCCTTGCTTGAGCTTTTAAAAGAGGACCGTTTGATATTACACACAGTAAGTGCTAGAGTAAAGCGTTGGGCATTGATATTCACAAACTACTACTATCAGTCTGTATACAAACACGGCTCAAAGAATGTCAATGCAGATAGACTAAGTCAGCTACGCGTGGAGGACTATTTTACACCATTACCTTGGCTTTAGATTCAACTCTTGTCATGGTGAAAACTATTGCTTTGCATACATCCAGGGATCCTGAGTTATCTTGAGTGTCAAAGTAGATTATACAAGGATGGCCGTACAATAATCTCAGGATTTTCGACCGTTCACAAACAAGAAGGAGGAGTTATCAGTACAACTGGGTTGTGTTTTATGGAGATCACGAGTGGTTATCCCGCAAAGTGTCGAGATTTCTTGCTTAATGAATTACATGTAGGTTACTCAGGTATTTCGCAGATGAAGTACTTTGCTTCATGTCATATCTGGTGCCATAATTTGGATTCAGACATTAGATTTATGCAGTATTTAAGAATATGTGGTATGTGCCAGGATAAGGCTAATATGCCAAAGACAAGCACGTTACACCCATGGGAATTGCTAGGAAGGGCGTGGTTTCGTGTGCGTATAGATTATGCCGGCTCGATCAATGGCAAGTGGATTCTTGTGATAGTGGATGCTCATAGTAAATATATAGATGCACATGTCGTTTTATCACCATCAGCAATAGAACGGATGTTGTGGCGCACATTTGCGACACATGGGAGACCTTATGTGATTGTGTCGGAGAATGCCCGCAGTTTTACTAGTGAAGAATTTTCCAAATTCTGCACCTTGAATGACATTAAGCATGTTCGATGTTCGCTATACCACCCATCATTAAATGAACTAGCTGAACGTGCTGCATCAAGAGTGGGTTAAAAAAAAAAGGTCCCCGGTGATCGCAAATCTCTACTACTGCCTGTCTTGGCTTGCTACTGTCTTTTTCCACAAAGCTATTAGTCCAGATATCGTGATCAGAAACCACAGAAACAGAATATGCCTTTTTATTGACATGGCATTCCCTGCAAACTCTAATGTATCTTTGAAGATCTTAAAATCAACAATTCCAGTTGTAGATGGCGCCCTCAGTTTGATTGGGAAAGGTTCCGATAGACACAGTGAAGTTATTCTGAGTTGCCCAAGCACAGCTCGCATCTTACGAATGGTGTTATCTATGTAGAATTTATGTGATCTTATATATATTTTTTTTGTTTTTCTCAGTGGAAAATGTCATGCTGTCATTTCTGACCTTAGGTCTCTGATTGGGACCCGGAAGTAAATGTGTATACAACGGAAATCGCAGGAAATGAAACAATAATAATAAGTAATCAGCAAATCCAAAAAATAGCTCTAGCATGTACAGCCGTCATCCTGCGAGGAACTTTCTTCACTTAAGTTTATTTTTGTTAATAGCTGTCATTTGTTTAATTACGTGAAAACAACAACAAATAGCTCCTTTACTTGCTATCGGCCATTGATGATGATCATCCGTCATGTGATTATAAATCAAATGCAGAGACCCAAGACCAATAAAAAAATAATAATAAAGAAACTTTCCTTTGAAAAACATCAGATTAGATAAATTCCAAATCTGAGAAAGACTTGAAAAAGCTCGTTTCACATTGTTTTCTGTGTGCGTGTGATGTCGGTGAGGATGGGGTTTAAGTCAGCGAAGGCCATGATTGAGAGTTCGCACTCTGAAATTTGTTCACATAATTTTCATTGGGAGAGACTAAAAGATTTTCTACTGGCAGACTCCCACTCAGACCGCTGACGTATCTTGACTCTTTTATTCTCACGTCGTAGGCGTTCATGACTCTCCACAATTTCCTGTCTTTTGTAGCTCATAGTTAATTTTGTCTTTTTGTTATTTCTCCTAATCCCTTTTCGGCCATCCATTTTACTCAAGCGTATTAAATATGTTACACGCTGCTTTCCTCTGTCCCTCTTGACTTCAATTTGCCTTGTGAGTATCAGATTTTCGGAGCCCTTTTTTTCTCATTATGTGCCCTAGAAATGTCAACTGTCTCTTTCAGATGTTAAGTATAAGTTTCCTTTTTTTATCCATTTTCTCTAAAACTTTGTCGTTACACACATTCGGCCCATGGTAGTCTCAGCATCCTTCTGTTGCTTCAAATCGCTTCTTTATCTTTGAGGGGATCATCCAGCATTCATTGCCATATCGGAATTAACAGTTCAATACTCTTTTCTTTGTTTCTAACGAAATATTTCTATCTCTTAAAAATCTGCTTAGTTTTTGGAATATGATAGTATTACTAAAATGTACTAACATTTTGAGAAGAGTTGTTCTTACCTTCATTGAGTGCCAATACATTTTACTAGTGTAAGTAATAATAATAATAATAATAATAATAATAATAATAATAATAATAATATGAAAAAGGAAGTCCCAGGAAATCCATGTTTATCCGAAATACATTGTTTTAATGAGTAGTGCTCACATAATCTTGGTTCAGTAATAATCGTACTTGCTCTGGTTGTTGAAAGTTGAAGAAAAAATACCTCT